TAAAGAGGATGGCGCCCATGAAGACACGATGTTCATGGGAAATTGAGGATGACTCATCCAATTTGGGGAGGATGAATCATCCAATTTGGTCCCCGATTTTTTGACACACTGATAAATTGTAGGTGGTGAAAAGTGGCGTCAATTGCCAAGTTTTTTTCCCATTCTGGGATGCATGCCCAGATGAAACGGAGATAGGCATGGCCCTGCAAATATGTAGTACCAAACCGAGCACACATTTTAGGCTAGATTGAGCATTCAATAAGCAATTTTCAGGTTCAGGAGCTTTTGATCCGTCTCCACATCATTAAGAGGTATATCATCGTAGATCATCGTAGATCATCGTAAATCATCAAACTAAATGGGCCATGGCTTCCACAGCTATGTTAAATAAACAGAGGGTCATATGATAGTAATACATTGGTTACATCATAAATTAATATTTCTTGTAATTATTGTAGCATTACACCAATATTTGATAAACATATGATGTGTCTACTGTGTCTACCTTAAAAGACACGACCTTTTTAGACAACGGCCGTTACCGCAACGGGTAGCAGCCGTTTCAGAGGGATGTACAGATCCCAAGTGACGTGATTTGTCCATGATTTTTCAGAGGGGTTGTTTTACCGTCACCCAGATACATAATTATACATAGACATAGGCTGACATAGGTAACATATGTACTTTTCTTTTAAAAAAATACATGCAGTCCACATCAACGAGTGGTTACCCGATTACCAGGGGAGATGATGTTTGCGTTCTGCGTTCTGCGGCGTGACCTCCTCTTGCGACATGAAAGCAAATCTTCGTCATTTCTTGACACCAGATTCTTGTCATAGCAAACACCACTTTGGTTGGTCACACATTTTTGCTACATTCCTGGAAACCCGCTATTTCTATAGTAACAATCCCAGCTATATCAAACCTCTTTTGTTTGTTTGTTTTTCATAATTTTCCCCTCCATCTTTCGTGGGTCCCCCCGTTCCAGGCCACGACAGCCACGACTTCTCCGGCGGCGGCCAGCGCGACCAGCGCCGCGACGGAGGTGACAACGACGCAGGGCTTTCGGATGCCCAGACTGTCTGAGGCTCGGGTTGGCTCTGGAGACGCCCCAAAAAGGCATGTTTTGTCACGAGAAAATGGGCAAAACAGGGATTTCACCATGATTTTTGAGGCCCAAAGACTAGAGTAACATATAGTAACATCCAATTTCACCAATAGAAGTGGTGATATTTTTTTGATGTGATATTTGAGATGTTGTGGCCCAGATGACCTTGTGTCAATTTGTAAGGCGAGCAGAGCCTTTCTTGGACCACGGGGAACCAATTTTTTTGCTGGGTGTTGAAAAACAGATGTTTGTTACTGGTATTGCTTGTTAGTAATTGTTAGTGTAAATCCATATTATAATATGTTGCGCAGAAGATCAAAAGATCATAAAAGATCAAATAGCCATGAACAGGAGAGGACACATATGTTGCGCAGCAAAAAAAATCATGGCTATTTGATCTTCTAGTGTAAATCCATATGTTGCGCAGCAAAAAAATGGTGCCCCGGGTGGCTGCCGCACCCTCATCAACAACCAGCACTGGTCTTGGATGGTGAGGGTCGCCGAGGTCGAGACATGGACTTGGTTTACTTCACCTCGAGGCAAGGTTTGCATAGATCCCAGCTATTTTGCTGGGAGCCTTAAAGTTGGTAAATCGTTTGTGAGAAAGAACGCATGGTTTTGTCAAACACATTTCCAATCACTTTGGGCTATTTTTGGTATAAGAACTGTAGGGACTCTGTCTTGATTTCTTGACCATCCTTGAGCAAGTCCAAATTTGTTAAGAGGAATCCCAGGTTTTGCAGGACTTGAAAAACCTGAATTTTCGACTTAAGTGGAAGGTCTTGGGATGAAAGGACAGGGCGACCAGTATTCCAGACTGAGACGACAATGTGGGAAGATTTTTTGGTGATGTGACATTTACCCTCTGGTAAATTAACATAGACCCTGAAAATAGCCAATTTTTAATGGAAACTAATCTTCCAACCCCTATCTGGCAGGGTCTATGTTAATTTACTTGAGGGTAAGCCCCATTATATCAACATTCTATCCCAATTCTATCCCCATTATATCCCATATATTCCATTGTTTTGATACAACCCCGACCTGGGACCATTTTTTTTTCGATGCTTTGTAGCTTTCTTAGCAGTCAGGCCTTGCGCAACGAGGCCGGGTTGGCCCCTGGGACTTGGCAACCTGGCGGTGGTTTGGTGCAGCCATCCTGGCTGCTGGAGTCGGCGTTCGTAATTTTTCGGTAGATCGGGTGACCCACAGCCAGAATTACCGTACCATCATTGGCTCAGAATCACCAGCAAACAGTTGGATCTACTGCACTACATCTGTCCGAAATCACCGAACTTTCTGCTGATTTGGTGCCCCAATGAATCAAGGTGGATCAAGCTGCATTTCCCCTCAACTTGCACTAAAGTCACTAAACATCAACTCGGATTCTTCATCCATTCCATATATTCCATGGAATCTCAACCTCTTCTCGTGGCTTAGCTTAGGGCCGGGCCCCTTGGGATTCGTGGCTCGACGCCAGGATCACCAAGACGTGTTCTCCACGATGCTGGCCTCCTCGGTGGCTTGGAAAAACCACAGAACTTGGGAACCCGAAACCTTTAAAATTAAAGGTCAGAAGGGGAAAACTAGGTTTTGCTGCTTGGTTAAAATATATATATATATGTAAATTACAATATTTTTCTTGAACATAGAATATTACATTGAGTATATGTAAATTTTACTACATATAATATTACAATGGATGACATATAATATTTATAATACTGGTGCCTTGGATGATCTCATTGATCCATCCCAGCTGGAATCGGGATGGCGGAAGTTACATGTAAAACAAACAACCACGGAGCTATAACAAAAATCACCATGTTCCAAAGTCACATGTTTTTTTTTTTTTAACAACTATTTTCTATTTTTTCCCCAGCAATTTAAGGCCCCCAAGATTTTTTCCCACCGCTCACCAAAGTGGTTTCCTGACAGCTCAGCTCAGGCCGGTCTGCTGGCGGGCCTGGCAGGTGCGGCAAAAACTGAGCATCTGATGATCGAACACCAACATTAGAATATACCATCAGAAGAAGAATATACCATCAGATAATCATCAGAAGAATATACCATCTGTACCAATAATTAGATATACCATCAATAATCATCAGAACAATATACAACCTGTACCAATAATTATATGACAATAATTAGATCACGATAATTGGATATAATTGGACTAATTATCAGATCATTATTATTTGTACCAATAATTATCTGATAATTAGTCCAACTATATCCAATGATCTGATAATTAGTCCATAAATGGTATCCAATTATATCCAATGGTATCCAGAGTTGCTCCCAAAAGACCATATCTGATGATCCAGATGGTCTAGTTCATATTCTGATGATTAATTTTTCAAACTGAGCAGTATGCTTGGAGCAACTTATCTGGACATATCTGGACCAATACTTCCCCTCTCTGATGATTGAAACCAACTATTTTTCCATACGAATGTGATCTAATTCTGATCATCTTTTTGTCACATTGGTCAGACCAGACATATTTCGAAAGGGGTACCGACTCTGAGACCAGACACATTTCGGTGGGTTCCAACACTTTTGTTGGAGAGCCGATTCTGATTCCGACAGACCATTGCTAGGCGTCCAATCGTTTGAGAAAAGCCATTTTGAAGTACCCTTCAAAAAACCACCATCTCTGGCCGGTAAGAAAAGGGATACAGTTCCCGACTGACTTTCATTAGTTCGATTGCCGGAGGGTTTGCGGGATTGCCCAATAGTGGCGGCACGTGCCCCCAAGATCTCGTTGGTCATCATTGGGACCCTATTCGGTTGGCCGTACTTTGGTGGTACGTTACATGCCCGACTGTCTGGACAACCTCAGCTGGAAAATACCTCACCAAAAAAACGGGTTGAACGGGGTTCCCTATATTTCCCCATTTTAGGGATATTTTGTATCACCTTGTGGTTGAATGATGGTAAACCACCCCACAAAGGGTGACGTTTATGGGGGACATGTAAGGAGCCCTGCTGAATCTTCAAGTTGACCAGGCAACATCAGAACGTTGGCTTAGACATGTTCGACGCAAGAATTGGGGGATGATCCCAACCCCCCAACCCCTCATTTTCGAGGGAGTAATGAACATCTCCAGGTTTTTGCGTGGATCCAAAACCATCCAAAACCACTTCTCCCCCTTACCCAGCACGGTCGCAGGCTGGGTGAACGTCTTCCTCTGCCGAAGGATCTCCTTGGACGGCTCCTCCCTGGTGGGACAGTTGGGGGAGCCCAGCGAAGCAGCGAAGCGAAGCGGAGGAAAACGGTCAGAAATCTCCACCTTTTTGTGGGGATGGCCATGAACATCTTGGGCTACCCTCTGGTTATGACCAACAGTTCGCCATGGGAAATGGTCCATAGAAATAGGTGGTTTACCGGTTTACCTATTAAAACTGGTGGATCTTTCCATGGCTATGTTAAATAACCAGATGCTATATGGTTTGATGATGTTTGATGTGCTTTTTTTTGAGCGATATTGCAGGATTTTGCTTGGTGAACCCTAAGAATGACATAGAATGACAGGCCGTTTTTGGATATCAATTGAAGTGACTGTTGGACACTCACCTCAAGAGGGGATGTACAGGATAGCCAGTGCAGTTGACTACTACAGCCCTTTTCCCGTGATCCCACATTTGTGATTGGTTGCAAATTTCCATTTTGGTTCGTTCTCTCCTCTTTCTGTCCCGTTTCTTGCTGGTCATATCAGTCATATCGTTCTGATTTCAGGACCACGCAGTTGGACATTAAAGATGATGCTTTCCTCGAGTTTCCTCAAATCAACCCAATGTTTCGACGGGTTTTGTGCAGATTTTCCCTACAACGGAATGCTTTAAGGTTCCCATGTTGGACCTCCAGCTTCTTGCCTGCCGGGTGCTTAGTGGCTACGGAGTGGCCTTTTGGGACGCCGGCCTTACGTCTGGCTCATCCCACATCGACTGAGGTCATTGACTCACTCCTTTGGACCTCCTTGAGCGCACCGGCGCTGCCAGCGTGGAATCCTGGTGCCAAACAGTGGCGAAGGTCTACTTGGCTCTGAAGAACGCAGGGGGACCTGAAAAAAAACTCCATTTCTGTTGCGAAAAACATGGGAAATGATGGAACATGATGATGAATCATCAACTCTTGGAGTGCCTTGTTTTTAGACATACCCGCTTCCAAAATCTTGGAAAATCGGTTGTCCAGACGGGTATAGTTGGGCTATCCCCACATATACACCATTTCTGGGGCCCAAATGACAAAAATGGAATCAAACATGGAGATGTTCACCAACAGCAGAGGCAAATTCTTGACTTCGAGTTTCGTACATAGCATTTTTTTTGGTCAATCTGATCTATTTGTTTTTCCAGCTTGCCACGTTTGAGTACCGGAGGGTCATGGTTGCAAAAAACGTGTGGATCTTTGTCCGCGGGTTTTGAGTAAGATGGGGATCCGAAGCATGATGTCCTGGGGATATGATCACTCGAGAAGGGATCCCTGAGAATGGTTACATCCCTGTGAAGGGATTGAATATCCATTCCCTATTCTGCGGAAGAACAAGAAGAACAAGAAGAAGAAGAAGAAGAAGAAGAAGAAGAAGAACAACTACAACACTACAACACTACAACACTACAACACTACAACTACAACTACAACTACTGCAAGCAACTTATACAACCAGCATGAATAATAACTTATCCTTCCCTGGTAATAACTTCCACCAAGAAACGGTGGACATGTATTGGGTCTGGATTTGGGGCCCCGTTCATTGCTCCAACCGTGGAGAGATTGCTAGCCACAACGGGTGGGAATGGGTCTATTTTAGTCTATTTTATCATATCCTGATCTTGATGTACCCAAGTTGACTTCATATTCGCAAAAAAAATGTCGCTCCCAAAATTTTAATGGCTAGCGAAGTTAACGAATTTTACCCAACATGTTCTGATTATTACTCATCATGGACACCTTTAAAAAATAGAAACGTTAGCTCGTACGACGTGACGAAGTCGTGGGTGTTGGGATTTTTCAGGTGCCCTGCGTTGCGGAGACGAAGGATGGCTGATGGCTACTCTCTGGGAACCAAAGGGATAAAATTTGGGGTTTCCTAAGTTTAAGTCATGGGACCCCCAGTGATCATCCAAGTCATGAACGACCATAATTTGAGTATTGAAACAAACATGGTGACGACTGGGGTACCCCCATTTGTGGAAACCTCGAAATAACTGACTGAGTAACTCAGGGATAATTTATAAAAAACCCTACATAGTGTTTAACTAAGCATGTTATCTCTAGTTATTTAGGGAATCTATAACTTATTAAACAAGTAAGGGATTTAAGTGACTAAATGGGGACTTAGTGGTTAAGTAGGGATAGGGGGATTTGGCAGGCTATCCTGACGGATAGTAGCTGAAGGGAGTTAATTTTTGGACTTCATGGGACGAAAAAGGACCATGATATCAGATGTACCCTTTGGAAAATTGCTAGAGCTTGCAAAGTGGTATTAGATGGCCCTACTTCGATGATGTACCGTACCTAGTAGCTCAATGGCGAAGTTCTGTAGGTCATACCTTTCAAACAATGGATTCAAATTGTAGAACTGTTCTTTGGTTGTCATAGACTTTTTCAAGGAACAGTAAACAGTGCTTAATCTACCTCCAAACCACTTGATGAAGCACCCTGACTTTCCCAGGAGCGCAAGCTGAGCTTCAGGCCTCTGAGGTCCATGGAGGCCTGGCGATCTACCCCAGGGGGTAATGGCTGGATCAAAAACGGGAAATCCACAATCGAAATGGAGCTTTTACTTGGAAAGGCATATACAAATCATATATAGATGGTGGATTTTTCATGATTTTTCCGTCGAACTTGCTCTAACTTACAAAAAACATCCTCTGATCCCACCATCCAGCACCCATTGATCCGCAGGCAATGCGCTGGTGGAGCGATTTGCCCCAGCTGGAGGTTGGGAGATTGAAACACGCCGACCAAAATTACAAGCCACCAACATACCCATTTCAGGAAGATATCCGTTTTCTTCAAGGCGGTGAGAGCAACTAAGAACTTCAGTGGATATCTATAGATTCTTCAGTGATATATATATATTTATTGAATGACGCCAATGTATCCATTGAATTCCATTGATATTATGGGTCCAAGCTACGTTTCCTCTTTTGTTTTTGCAGATGGAGCACTTGCCTCGGCGCTTGCAGCACGAGACGCGTTGGGGTTTCCCAGATGACGGTGGTGAATGTCATTTCTCAGCTTGGCGAACAGGGAGACATGGTGGATATTGGGAACATTGGTGGTTTTGAAGGTCTCTGGACTCTAGTACTTCCCAGGACTCTTGGCATACTTTTTCCTTCTTTTGCCAGTGTTGGCAACTTGCTTTCACCCCTTTCACCCCATTTTTTCTCTCCAAACGGAGATGAACAAAAGAGATGTTGCAGTTGAGCTCGATTTGAGTATTTGGTCTGCCCATTGACTCGTCTCAATGTCCATGCTGTGATCGCCCAGAATTTTTCTCACCAGTTCGATGACTTTAGGCCATTTTAGGATTTTGCAGATTTCCTATTTCTCAGCCATCTTTGATGAAACCAGAGGGTATTTACATATGTTTATTTACCACCCAACATGTTCCATTGAAATGTAGGCCATGGTGGGATGGTGACCGGCTTAGGCTGGGAAGATCTCTTCACTCCTGCCAGGTCGGCTGGTCGGGGCTGGGAAGGAGGTCACCTTGGATATCTCCAAGACATTTTGTGTCCTCAAACATGGCAAACTGGGAAATCCCGGTGGCCTAAATGGAGGTTTCAATGGCGAAAACTATCGAACTAACATGACCAGTTTGGGGAATTTTCCGGCTAGCCATGTGTGATGAAACCAGAGGGTACATATATTCAGTTTCTCATCATGTTTCTTTCCATCTTCCTGATTCTCTCTTCTTACATACTCACACTTTTTTTTTGGAGGCCATGGGATTTATGTAATATCATGTGATATCCATTTTTGTGTTGAAGAAACACTTGGTTATCCCTAGGAAAAATGAGAGGTTCAGTCACGGTATGGTGGGGATACCCCGGACCCCACATGATTTGCACCGTAGTGATGAAACATGGCGATGCCAGTACTTGGAGTTGCAAAATTTTCAAAGCTCATCAATGCCATACCCTCTGGTTATGACTAACATAGCTATGGTATAGATGGCCCATAGAAATAGATGGTTTACCGAACTTAAAAATGGTGGATCTTTCCATGGCTACGTTAAATAACCAGATGGTATTTTTTTTTTGGTGATTTCGAAGTGTTTGCTAGCAAAGTATAGGGACAGGGTTGCCCAATCTCCGAGGGCCTGGAGATTGACCCACAGATTTTGCATATTTCGCTGGTGCAACTTTTGCATATCACATTTTTAACACTGGTTGGTGGTTTGGAACATCTGGTTAATAGTGATGGTTAATAGTGGTTAAAGATGGCTATAAACCAACAACAATGGGAATATGATGGTTATATACTGGTTGGTGGTTTGGAACATGAATTTTATTTTCCCATATATTGGGACTGTCATCATCCCCAACTGACTTGAACTCCATGATTTTTCAGAGGGGTTCGCAGCAACCACCAACCAGAACTGACACGTCTCCGAGTTCACGTCTCCGAGATCGGTAGCGATTTCCGAGATCTCATCTGCCATGTCATGCTAAGCCAGGCACCTGGCTTCAAGGATGCAGGACCTTTTACAGACCTGTCCTGACCTGTCGATCATTTGGAGATTTCTTACAGCAAACTGAAAACAGCAGAAGGATCCTGTCGATCCACGCCATGACGAGGAGATGGTGGTTCTGGGTCGACTCCCAGAGCCCAAGAAGTTTGGAAACTCAGATTGGGACAGCTTGGATGCTACCCATCCTTGACATTCATGGATTTCAAAGGACGTGGGGATTGCTGAGCTACCTAATATATATATATATATGATATTGAAATATGATGATTTCATCAAACTAGGTATGCTATGGTATGCTATTGTTGGTTGATAGAATATGAACTTGGATCATCCCTTGTTTGCAAATATGTAATCCCAGAGGTGACATCTTTGCTATGAACCACACCTACTCACGGATGATGCCGGATTTTTGGTCCATTGAATGGCTGGAGTCCAATATGGCGTAGGATGTTCTGGGCATCCTGTGGTGAAACATGAAATGAACATCTGCAATTAGTAGAAGATTTGATGATGTTCTTCTTTTTGCATACCCATGAATGAACAGGGATTGCTGATTGCCGAATCCCATTTAAATCCATTAAATCAACTTATAGATGATTTACCCCTTGAAAAAAAACGGGGTTTGATGCCCAGCGAATGTTTCCCCGAGTTCCCCCGCGAAAAAACAACAGCCAAAACTGAGGTGGTTGACGGTGGCCATGCGAACGCGGAGCCAGACGGAACCACACGAATTGGCAAAGGTGAGGATTCTGCAGATTCTGGATGAATGGGGTAAACCCAATCATAAACCTTCAATTACGGATGTCTATTTACCAGCTATTTCTAGCAAACATGGGGATGCAGTAATTTAACATGGCAATGGAAAATCAACCATTCATACATGATTCATCCCATCTCTTCCACGTAAAAAGTTGGGATTTTCATTTGCCATGTTAGATTACCAGAGGGTGTTGAGAATCATGTTAGGACAAAGTGCCTTGATGGAAGATATGAAGACAGACACATAGGGGGATATGGTGGGGATATGGTGGGGATATATATATATATAATATAATATATAATATATACATATTATATATATATATATAAATAATATATAATATATATATATATCCATCGATCAATGGAAGAGATTTGTATCATATTCGTTATATTACGTGAGTAAATGGGGTTGAACCATTAATAAAACGGGGGATATGGGTATGGCTCAAGCCATTTCGGCACCAATGGACCCACAGAAATATGTTGATCATCCTCAGTGTCGCCATAGGCCATAGGCGGCATAGCAACCTGGCG